CCACTCCCCCGCGCCACTCCGATCCGCCTCCGCCACGAGCTGCCACCAAGCCCCCGCCCGATCCGCCGTCTCATTCCCCCTCCGCTGCCCCCCGGGGATCGCAGTGGCACCCGCGGCTCCAGCAAGCAAGTAAGCGGCCGCCCAATCCGATGTTCACCCTCGCAAGATCGGTCCGGCCGTTCGTCCCCGTCGAGGGCATGGATCGGTCTCCCGTCTCCCCTGATTTCTTGCCGAAAGCCTGGCCTTTTTGCGGTGAATCGTTCCTGTTTTGGTAATCGCGGGGGAAATACCGGGGATTTCGGTCCGGGTTGTTGCTGAGTTTTTTTTTCCTTTCAATTTCCTCTGTTCGAGGATTTCTGCCGATCCGGTCATGTTCTTTCCGTAAATTTCTAAACTGAAAACATGGCAAGTTTTTTTATCCGGTGATTGAAAGATGGAAAAAAAAATCCTAGGTGTTTGGTCCTTGCTGCTGCAGTCCCCCTTCTCTTGCCGATTGATTTGCCTGTCATATAATCTCTCGTGTTCCTTCTAATTTTTTTCCTTGTGTTAATACTTTCCCTTCGTGGTGTTGGTGCGATGATCGCAGAGTTGGAGTAGAGACCGCCAGCACGAGCGATCGCTCTTTGATTTATGTCGCCTGCTCTACTGCTCCATGGTTCTGAGCTCCCATCACCATCACCTCCTTCCGCTTTTTGTTGCCTTCTCCCCCAAGCTCGGCAGAGGGGCGCCAGAACTCAAGATTATCGCTTCAAGATCTCCCGGTAAGTACGTACGCTCAATCCCTGCAGCAATTGTTTCTGGTTGCAACGACTGACGGCAACAATGTCGAATTACTACCTGTTTCCCCTGTTCTAGTTCCGGTTGGAACCAATTCTTCAGAGTTACCACATGTTCCTAATTTTCAGAAGATGAATTTATTACAGCAGAAAGTTCAGAGATAGTCTTTTTTTAATCTCCCCTTAATATCAATACTTTATTCCCACAAGAATAAACTGCAATAGCTTGTTCATCTAACATGTGCCCGTCCTGTTCTTAGTTTGCTCTGGATTAGCTATGATGGGTGTGCCTTCAAATGATGGAGGTGGCCACAGCGCATAACAAAATCTATAGTTTTTTTTTTAATTTCAATTTCAATTTATATAAACAAAACAGTAGTCTTGCTCTCATTTTCATCCGGTCATCTTAATTATTGCTCCTCTACTAAATTTGTTAGTACGTGTGCTACAATCTTGGACTGATTTCAAAGCTGACCTGCACAATAAATGGTGGCATTGCTTTATTTAGTCATAAGATACGTACATGCATTCAAACATACGTTTCTCACAGTCGTGTCAGTTACAGCCATATAATTTGTACTGTAGTGATGAGCTGTGCTTTCCTTCTTGTGCTTCCAGATTTGGATTTGGGGTGAAGTACTCTGGATTTCTGCATTTAGACCAGTGCCCCGTGCACGCGAAGTAACAACGATACAAGAATCCCCCAAATCAAGATAAGCTTGGTAAGTATTTACTCTCCGTGAGGAAATGTATTTCAGACAGGAGAAAACAGTAAATATGTCTGATCTCTCTTTTTTACCACTTTACTAAGAAAGATTGGGCCTCATCTGACAGTTTTTGGATGCTTGCAGGTTTGGTTTGGGTGGATTAAGTTCAGCACTCCTTCATTTTCATTGACATTCCTCAAGTTCATAAACAATCAGCCAGAAAGCAGATTTCTTTTGTGAGTCTTCACAGAAAAATAATAACTCCGTCTTTTCTCCAGTTTTAATCAGAAGTTTGAGACAACTCAGTTTCTGATTTTGGAGATTGTGCACTCAGCCTCTCAACCAGGAATTTCTGTCCTGGGATTTAACATTTCAGTCGGTATGTGCACATCTTATGTTCTTCGTCTTTGAAATTTTTAAGTGTCTACCCCCTGTGAGTGTTTTTTTTGTGAATGTTCATATCAGTCTATCTGACACACTCACTGGCCTTCTCTGCAGATTGTAGTCAAGGTTAATAATTCAATAATCTTTGGATCTTAAGATTAAGGGGCTCGTTGCACAAAGAGATGATGATACCTTGTTCGCGGAAGGTCCGCATTTCCTGCTGTGATCCTGATGCCACCGATTCCTCTGATGAAGATGATCGGCATGCGAAGAAGGAAAAGAGGATGACAATGGAGGTACTAGTTCCAATGAAAACCTCCGGACCTCTCAAGTCTCGAAAGACCCTTGTGCCATGTGGCAGCAAGAAATCAATTGGCACAGAGAAGAAGCAACCAACCAGCAAGTACCCTGGTGTGCGCCTGCGTTCATGGGGTAAGTGGGCTGCGGAGATACGTGATCCTGTGAGCAAAACCCGGAAATGGATTGGCACATTTACCTCTGAGGAGGCCGCTGCAGCAGCATATGAGGCAGAACGGAACCGGGTACGCACTGAGATGTTGGCCATCAAATCTCGGTCACCTCCATCAGAACATGAAGCTGTGTCCAGCGAAGCTACTGTATCCTGTGTGTCTTCATCTGTGTCGTTCGGCGACCAGAAAGCACAAGAGGTACACAAGTTAGCGTCAATGGAGATAGACCCTGACACTGCTGATGAGAGCTTACTGCACTGCTCACCGGAACCGCCAGGTAAAGAAATCCAGGTAGATGCATTCGTTGGCCGGATGAATGTTGATGAAAGCTTGGTGCACTGCTCATCGACACCTAGCGATGAAGAAATTCCAGTGGATGCATTCTGCAGCCAGATGAATGAGCTTCCTCCTATCAGTGACTATGTTTGCACAACTGACAAACTCTCACTGGATGATATCTCAAGGCTGGCAGATATGTTTCCTGTCAATGACTTTGTCGACACAACAGGTGAGCCGCCTGGTGACGACTACATCGGGCTGGCAGACATCAGTCATCTACCGATGCCAATGTTCGAGTTGGATACAGAACTTAATTGGGAAGGTTTCGACTTTGCTTCGATGGAACGTGAACTAGAGAGACTTTAGGCCTCGACAACATTGAGGTTTTCATCTTTCGGACAGATGTCAGGGTGAGTTTGTGATCAGGAGATGTGTTCATCTCCAATTTTGTCGGAAATTGTACAGTCCACCCCCCCTTAGATTAATCTGGTTGAGCCTTATATGCACCGTGTAATATGTACATGATCATCTAATTTGAATCTGCTATGAAGTTCATAATGTCCATCTTCTATTTTTCGTTATTTGTGTTTCAGAATTTTTTGTGTTTGGTTTGTGCGAATATAATGTGTTCCTGTCATATTTCAGTGACCTGTGCTCTGGAGTCCAGAGTATTACTGTACTTTTCTTGTTTCTAATAAGTTCAGAGATTGCCATAATTTTTCTATACTAAGGGTTCCAAGTTAAGGCTGCGTTTGCATCCAAGTATTTTTGGAGTTTTTCAGAAACCACGGTTTTATAAACTTTGATGTGTTTAGCATCAACAAAGAACTATTTCTATAAAAAGGGGTCATTGCCCAGGCACTGGAATACTGAGGTTTAAGATTACTACGGTTTTTTAAAAATTGTACTGCCAAACCAAACAGACTGAAAGATAAGTTTCTACTAAGAAATTACACCAGTGTGTGGAGAATGCCAAGTTCACTATTAATCATATATATAGTGGAAAAAGGAGTTCCCTACTAATCATGAGAGGGAGAGAAAAACATTCAGAACAGAAGTGTATAATGTAAATAAATCCCAGAATTGTTAGGCTAGACCAGGAAAATGGAAAATTGCTGCTGCAGAGGCTGCTACGTTTTGAGTAAAATGAAATTGTGGGGCGTGGTCAGTAGACGCCGGCGCACTCGAAGGAGATGTCGCAGCCTGGGACCGGGGTGAGCTTGATGGAGTGCTTGACCCTGCTCATGAACTGCGGGAGGAAGGACATGGCCTGGCAGATGCAGGCGTTGTCGATGCCCATGAGTCGCCGGCAGCACGCCGTGTCGTACGGGTCCGCGCCCCCTACGCGGTGCTGGTGCCCGTGGCGGCGGCCGACATGTCTGCCCCCGTGCTGGCTGCCGTGGCCGGCTCCGTGGTCGCCGCCACCGTGGCTGCTGCCGCCGTGGTCGCCGCCATGGCCGCCGCTGGCGCTGTGCTCGTCGCCGGCCGCCTGCAGCTCGTAGCCGCTGGCGGAGGACGACGCGTTGAGCAGCAGTGGCCGCCGCGGCGGCACCGCCGGGTTGGCGCCGGGGTAGGTCCGCAGGCTGCAGGCCTCGTTGGCCAGGTTGAACTGGGACCGGCAGAACACCTGGGCCGCCACCTCGTCCGGCATGAGGACGAGCAGCAGCAGGAGGAGGAGCACCGCCACGGCCGGCGCGCACGGCGATCTCTTGCTCTCCATTGCTGCCGCTCTGTCTGCTTCCCGGGCTGGCTGCCCCTTGGTTACTGACTGCTGCTGCTGTGTTGGCGTTGGAGCGGATGATGATCTGGGTGGCATTTCAGGGGCGCTTAAGTAGCTAGGTGGCGCTGATCCGGGGCATGTTCAGTAGGGGTTAGGAGGGCGCTGTGACATGGTTACGGTTTGCGAGGCCGATCTGTCGGAGTGATTTATAGGTTGATCATGCTTGCGCTGTGACCAGTTGACACTTGACCTGTTGACCTGAGTTGCAGAATTTTTGCAGTGATTGAAACAAGCTTTGAATCCTCTGCAGGGGCATATTTTTGCAGGACATGAGACTGATTTATCGGGCAAAAAGTGACAGTTACTTGGCCTGAGTCATAGTACAAACATATATTCCTAAATTTTTGTCTAACGGGCTCTGTTGCCTCTGAAGATTGTTTTGGAGAACATGAGACTGTTCTCATTTACCAGGCAAAAAAGTGATCGTTTTGGGCCGAGTCATAGCAGCAGCCTATATTCCTGAAATTTTGTGAGCGACTGTTTTTTTCTTCTTTTCTTCAGAAAGCAGCGGTTCTGTGAGTCCGAAACTGTTGTTGGAATGTTTATCTGCATCTCTGAGAACTAGAGACACCTTCAACCACAGTTTTTGTCGGTATTTCTTGGAACATACAGTATATGCATAACACGACTTCAAATGATATGGCCAACTATATAAGAACAATCCCAGGCTAATTCTGGCATTCCTTTGTTTCCGTTTTTGTAATACATGAGAACTAAATGCTTTTCTGTTGCTCATTTGCAGTGGTAAGGAATCTGAAGGCTTAAAGCTGCAGAATCTATATGTTCTTTCAAACTGCTTCGGCAGGCAAAGCACCTCCTCCTGAATTCATATGTTTTTTTTAAAAGAAGGATGACCCTGCCTCTGCATCTTGGCGGTGCATGCTGCCGTTTTATTAAATATTCACAAAGACCTTACAAAGTAATACATCAGTAAGTCTGAAGCCGCCATTTTGATAACATCTATCACTACTCTTATCCATTTGATGAAGGGGTGTCGATTGTCCAAGCCGAATGCCAAGCAGACATGGCAACGAAGCCTAACGTCTAAAGCCAGATGCCCCACCCAAACCGCATTGTCGGGTTTGAGTCACACACCGGCCCGACGCACTCTCAGAGGCCGCCCCGCCACTTTCCACCGATCCATCTCTAGAGCAGGTACTGACGCACCGACCTTGCTAGGCCTGCAGTCGACGCCACCACAGCGCCAGACAACGCCACCATCCTGCACATATCCATCCACACGCGCTCGTCGCCGAAACTCCGCGGCGCCATGCCACCGGGATCCATCCTCGGCATTGCGGTAGATGTAACACCACCCCTCCTCTTGTCCCCTCCAGCCAGCACTTGCTCCAAAACGATGCCCCCAAGAGGGAGAACGACATTGAAGGCGCCGTCATCGTCCGTTCCGGTAGACCCAGATCTAGGGTTTCTCACGAAACATCCCGATCGAGTTGACGTGACCTGCAATGACGATGCCTCAAGAAGGAAACGACGTCAGAGACGCCGCCATCGTCCGCTAAGACAGTCACGCGTGATTTTCATTGGAAGCCCGTCGTCCTGATCTCGTGGCTGGCTGGAACCGCACAGAGCTTCGCCATGGAGACGTATGCTGCCGCCGGTACTCCGGCGGAGATCCTCCATCCCCTCACCGGAGCCCTCATCGCGCCGTCGATCATCCACGCGAAGAATCGACGGTGGGATCCAGTTCCGCGGCTGCCGCCATGCCCACCATCGCTAGAAAACCCGCCGGTTCCTAACGGTCATGGGGCTACAATCGCCGTCCCATGAATTCATATGTTTGCGTCCTAAAACCAAATAACTTAAATTTGAAATTGCACTGCCCTAAAAGCCTGTCAGCCGCACATCCAGCCCCGCGAACAGTGAGCTGTCACACCTAATGTTCTTTTCCACCTACGGATACGCATTGCCAATCCTCAAATCCATATAATTACATGTAGCGCAATATCTAGTCTAAATCTTCGCCGGTGCTCGTTCGTCTCCATGTCCGGGTCCACGTTAGGTGGCCAGCTGAGCCACTCGGAGTGAAATTGCGGTCGCCGGCGAGGAAGAGTAGTACCTGGGACACGGATTGGCTCACGGAATTCGAGGCGTTGCCATCTCCTATGCCATAGTTTTCCTTATCAAAGCCTGTGAGTAGATGCTGCCGGTCGATATGTGGTCCACGATAGACCCCTCGTGGTTGGAGCTCGACACATCCACCACGACACGGTTGCGGTGCCAGGGGTGCCGGTCACCCGTACTGGCTCCGGAGCGGCGTGCGACCCCGCCTCCATGGCCTCTCCGCTAGGGCTTCCGCGGCCTCGCGTGCCCTCTGCCTCGCATGATGGGCATGTCGCTCCATGGTAGAGGATGCGCCATTAGTCATGTCGGCATTTACCTCCGGCTCAAAGCCCATGGGGTTGACACAACACCGAAGGGGGTGCATTGTCGCTACGACGTTGGGGCGCCAGACGGACCGCACTGCCTCTAGCGAGGCAGTGGGCAGGTGCCTCCCGCCAACATGACCGGTGGATCCAAGCGCCAATGGATTCCCGTCGGATCGAGTCTGGCCGCTATCGGGCGGACTCCCCCAAAGCGGCGAAGAGCAATACAGACGACCATCTCCTCCTTCGGACCTTATGTTGGACTCAGTCCATAGATCGGGAGAGGTCAGACTCGGATACGCTGCCCGCCATGTCAGAGAAAACCGAAGATCGCCGGAAGGGAGCTTGATGGTGGAGTTGAGTAAAGTGACTAGGGTTCGGTCCGGGATGTGGATATATGAGGGGTCGAGGTGCGTCAGTGTGGGCCAAAACCTACGTGACGATGCGCTCGGGCCTCCTCATATCTACCCTTAATTTAGGCTGCATATGAGGGGCGCCGGTCAGCCAGGATGTACGAGGCCAATATGAAGAATCCATCTATATCGAATTTTTTGACCGGTCAATGATCGGCCTGTCCATCCAAACATATAGAGGAGGGTTTGAGAAACGTGGACGTAGATGCTTGAATCCTTTTCTTCTAGCCCATGGTCAGTGATTTTGGGGGCTTGGTGGTACTACAAGTGGCTGTCATCTGTCAGGCGTATCCTGTTTCAGCACAAACAATAATTTGTGGTTGCAAAAGTGTGCAAAGCCCCATGGTGTGCTGGTGCTCCGGGTATTGGGAAACAGCAAAACAGCATAATTGCAGTCTAATTTCGGTGTCTACTGTTCATGGAGAGGTTTGCCGTCAGCGTCAGCACGCTGGATGATGTGCTTCGCCAGTTGTTGCCGCTACGCCATGGGGTCCAGCTGTGCGCTTTCGGCTCCACACAATCCATCCTGTGCATTTTGTTTCTCAACAATAATATGCAATCGATCTCAAAAAATGAAAAACCCAATAATATGCAATTTTTTATGCTGGGCCATGAAAATATATAAGTCCGTCTTCAACCGGTTGTGCCCAGTATCCATAAGCCCTTGTATGTTCATATGATGAAGGACCACGTAATAAAACCATGCTCTAGCCCTGAAAATGACCTGCAAAATTTTTTGTATTTTAACTCTGTTAAAAACACAATAAAAGGGTAACCTGGTGCATGTAGCTCCTGCTTGCGCAGGGTACAGGAAAGGGTCCGACCACTTTGGGTCTATAGTACGCAGTCTTTCCTTACATTTCTATAAGAGGCTGTTTCCAGGACTTGAACTCATGACCTCATGGTCACAAGGCAGCAGCTTTACCACTGCGCCAAGGCTCCCCTTCTAATAATTTCATAATCATTCTAATAATTTCATAAGGCCCAAAGCAAAGCACAAACTCTCAACCAGATATGTTGGTTAACTTTAAGATTAAACCTGCCCCATCAGTATTCAAACAAATTAGCTATACTAGTACGCAAGGTAAGTTAAAAGTCATATGAATTGAATGCGGCGTTTTTCAGATTTATTTTCTTTCAACTTCTGCTCAGTTTATGAGCTTTTTTGGACCTCAAGACTTTGTTGCGTTTTTATTTAATAATATGGCTGGATGCATCGATTGATGCAGAGGCCGAGGGTCATCCTCCTTTTTTAAAAAAGAAAAATGCCAAATCAGGATGGCAAGCGGGCAGGAGATAAAAAAGATGACAAACACTTTCGCCTCATTATAGAGGTACAAATGTTTTACTCTGTTTTCACCTGGACATGATATGCTCTCAAGCTTTCTCGTATTCGCATGACCTGGCAGCCCTAAGTAGATTAGGATGCTTTTGGAGATCTGGAGTCGTGCATGATATTACCTCTCCATTTGACAAAGCCACACAAGTGTTTTCGGCCACGTTCACTGTAAATAGTTGAGATGTGACTGTCGTATTTTGTATTCTTCCCGCAGTGTTTTCGTCCCCGATCCGATGTATGGCACATCAGACGGTGTGCTTTGCTAACCACGGAAAATTCGAGCGGTGTCTATTTCGAGAAGATAAAGATAAAGATAAAATTGCATTTCAATTTTCAAGCAGTTTTTTGACTCGTGCACCATGTTCTGAACAACGACGCATTACGGCCGGAGTCTTGCGAGAAGGCGAATGCTTTCAGAAAGGGAAAGGCCAGATTACTCGACTTGGCAGAGTTGTTCGCTGACGAGGACTTTGTTTGTGCACGCAGTGCTCGTTTGATAGCGTGTCAATAAAGCGAAAAAAGGTAACTATAATGCGGCTAGAATAATCTCTTGCTTTTTGGTCAATGAAGCTAATAATAGATGGATGAATTGAATCTCCCTTTACCCTGCAAAAAAAGAAGAAGCTAATAATGGATCGAAAGATTAAACCCGGAAAACAGATGTTTCTTAAGCGTGTTAGGGCATGTACACTAGTTTTATAAGGGGGTTTTAGGCTAAGAACCATAGAACAAATTGTTCTATGGTATTTTTCTATATTAAATAAAAATTCCTGTGCCACGGAAGCCGGCGGTATTGATATCCTTTGTAAGCCGTCACACGGGATAAGTTGATCAACTGTAAATCTTCGGCGTTTGTAACCTCTTCCGATATAGTAAAGCTTTGCTGGTTGGGGCCGTGAATTATTCCCCTTCACATTGCAGGGTTTTTCACGTTAAAATCTTGTGTCCCTCGGTGTTGATCTATTCTTCTTCGTTTTCTATTGTCTGTCATATCTCTAACAGGTGAGAGGGACTCCGTGAAAAAAACGATCAATGGGTGAGAAGTAGAACTAGGACACCAATATCAAAGATGGTGTCAGCCCACATTTGTAAGCATTCATCATTTTTGCTGTTGATTCTATGACCTAGGAGATTATGGTCATGCCTGAAAAGAAATTTCCATATACTGGTTGCTGGAACTTCATTTTTTTCAAAAAAAGATAAACCTTTTTTTCCTGAATATTCAAACATTCCAGGATGATGATACCCCTATCAATTTTTTAGGGCGACTTTGATTGGCTATGGTTATTTCATCATATGTAAAAATTCCCCTCTGCTTGTTAGGTAGAATGGATAACCAACAATTTTGAGCAAAGATGCAGTCCAAGAAAAGATGTGACAATATTGTTTCCTTAGCATTTTCATTGCAGAAAACATAATTATAACACTCTAAATACACGGATTTATTTTTTAAAAGATTTCTTTTATTGACTACGTCATGAAGAAGAAGCCGTGAGAATTTTTTTGTGACTCTGTCTACTTGATCGCTTCCTTAGACATTTGAAAATGATGCGTGCTTCCTTTTTGCCTATCATGCATTTGTACATTTACTTGCATGTGTAGCCTTGATTATCATTGATAGGACCATTTGTCATGGATTTTAGAAATGATTCTTTGTTCTAAGTCTATTCGAATTTCATTAAACTCAGTATACGATTGGATAGACATAAGCCTATGGAGTTGGTGAGCAAGACCTTTAGAGCTCTTCATGGCATCAAAAGAGACCTTATCATTGATTGCAAAGGAATGCAACTCTGGTTATTGTTGAATGAGAGGTTGACCTTGGCACCTAGCCAAGAGTCATGCTAGAACAAAATGGGGTTTCATTGCAAGACCCCAATTTTATTAAGTATTAAGGAAATTTGTGGTGTGAAGAAAGGGCAAAAAAGGTAGAGAAGGAGTACATGTTATTGTTTTTTGTATGAATATGGTGTATAATTTACAATAAGAAACATAATTTTCAAATATTTCTACTAAGAAATACGATGACTAAAACCCATGCACCCACGGGAGTGCATATCACCCGCCCATGAAATTATCCACCAAGAGAAATCACAACTGGTAGGCAAAAAAACTCAACTCTCGGAGGTTTTCGGTTTACGTATGGTAAACACGCATCTACCCAGAGACATAGTGTGCATGTGTACACATTTTCATGATGAAATACGTTTAAACAAGAGCTACACAAAAAATTGTGGCTTTTCAGCACATGTACTGCCCATCTTCAAAGTCCATGATTTTGTGTTTTTATGCAGCTCGCAATTCAAGTATTTCATCATGACATTCTACACACATAAAAATTAGATCCTTGTATGCGTGTATGTTTTTTCAGAACTGTTTGAAACTAAGAAAATATGAAATTTATTTTTTCAAAATTAAGGTCTCCATGAATCTCGGCCTCCAAAACACCCTACTCTTATTTATGTCAGGCAACCGCCAGACCACACATGCGTCATCGGCGTATCCCCATGACCTGGCACTGGCAGGCCTCGGTAGATTAGGCTGATCGTAATGGTAGTATTATAGCTAGTATCATGCATGCCAACTAGGCAATTTTGATGAGGTGTCATAGTATTAAATAAAGAAAGAGAGGATGGAGTATCATATCATGATACCGTATCATAATAAATGCTATGCTACTTTGTGTCATGCATGGCAATAAATAAAGTACTACATGATACTAATATATGATACTATGCATTAGAGAGGTAGTATCATACACTAGTATCATATGCATAATACTAGCATATGATACTCCCCATTACAACCAGCCTTAGGATGCGCGGAGTCGTGCATGGGATCAGCGGCGAATCCAAGGGGCAGACTTGGATGGGCTCAAGCCTGCCCTCCGAAATTAAAATCTAGCCTATCCCAGCCCATCTCAGCCCAGTTTCAGCCCAGCATAACCCAGTTTCAGTCTGTGTATTGAAGTTGAACCTGCCCTTCAAATTCATCCTAGATTCGCTACTGCATGGGATTACCTCTCCGACCGAGAAAAACCACACGAGGTTCATCGAAAACCATGGAGATGTGACTGTCGTTTTTGTTTTCATCTCCCTATAAACAAGTGGCTTCCTACAACTAGCCCCCAGCTTATGGCGCCGGCGACTGCGTGCTTGCTCGCCCTGCAAAATGGAGCCGGCCACTCAAAAAAAAAGAGCCGAAATCTTCTTATTCTGAGAAAAGCCAAAATAAAAACTGAAGCGGTGCGTCTCGCGCACCGTTGCTTGATGGACAGAGTTGATTGGAAAGCGACGGATGCTATCGAAGGCCCAGTTTAATGGACTTGACGAAGTTGTTTGCTGACAGGGATTTTGTTTGTGGACGTGCCCTGTGTGCCCATGATGGATGAACATTGACAGCTGGTCAATAAAGCGAATAAAAAAAGGTTTAATGGAATTCTCACGCGGCGGGAATGATCGACATCGACTTGATTTGGTGTCTTGATGCTTAATGTGGTCAATGAACCCAATCGATTCAAGGTTGAACTGTCGAAACTGCCTGCTCTGCCCTAAGCGCGTAATTTGCATCCCCGGATGAGCTGGGAGCCACTTGGATTCTCGTGGAGTCTTAGATTTGCTCCAGCCTGCGAGGCATTGGGCCCTGGAGAAACTGCTAGGAAACTAAGCTTGACCTATGAAGAGGATTTGGGTGACAATTTTGTTTAGCCGATCGACGTGGGTGGTCGACGACCGCGTGGTAAACGTGGTAAGTAACCTCAAGCGTCTATCAACACATAATACCAAGTGTTTTGACGAACCACAATGTATGCATTCATTTTCACTGTACACAACCAAATCGCCAACGAAAGAGAAATGTAAAAGGAGATCGGTCAATGGACAACATGGTTTTATTAACTTGGACATAAATCCACCGTAAAGGAGCAACAGTAATAACTTTCCGCGACATTGGAAATTTTGGCAGAAGGAGCGGTCGACGCGCAGTCGAGCATTTCCGTCTCAAAGAATAGTGGTACAAACGAAGATCGACCCAACTGCACTGCAGGGGCCGATCTTGCTTTCCAGATAAGCAAAGTTTGAATAGTAACCCCTAACCACCCCTAGCAATCACCCGCTTATTCGGCCCACCGACAGGTGGGGCCGCCCGGGAATCAGCATCTCCGCCAAGCCAAGCGTATTCACACGGCCACACCTACCACTCTCCGTTCCTTTCCTTTTTTTTTACTGCTCCGAGGGCAGGATGCGGAGGGGCCGCTGCCGCCTCCGCATCGCGTGCTCGCGCCGCCACCCGAGGACCACCGGCGCCGCCTCTGCGGCCGCCCCACGGCCGCTGTCATCGGCGTCCCACCACGCCTGGCCACTTCCCTCCCCGCTCGCCGTGCTGGCGCCCCACAGCCTCACCGCCTGGACACGCCCTCCGGAAGGGAACCTGGCTCCTCCCCCGCAGCCGACGGCGGAGAACCGCCGCGGCAGGTCCTGCCACGTCCGCACGACGGCGCCGCCCCACGGGAAGCAGCCGTCGAGGCCGTCGGCGGCGCCCTCGAAGTACCCGATCCTCCTCACGGCCTCCTCCTCCTCGCCGGACGAGCTGGTGGCCGCCTCATCGGAGCTCTCGTCCTCGTCCTCGCCCTCGCCGTCGGAGTCCGACTCGTCGTCGCCGGAGGAGTAGTAGGTGGAGATGTGCGAGGAGATGACCTCCTTCCCGCGGGAGCGGAGGCGGAGGATGAGCACCTGCAGCCTGCCGAGCAGGCTGGGCAGCGTCGCGAGCGCCGCCAGCGCCACGGCCAGCGGCGCCCACATCTCCGCAAGCAGCGCCGCGAGGCTCGGCCCCCGGAACCGCCCCACTCCGGCCTCCAGCATCGTCGCCGCGGCCGCCTCCATCATGGCTGCTAGCTCGGCTCTGCCCTGAAACCTCACACGTTATCTCGTGGTGTACGCGAACGCGAGACGGGAGGAGGAAGACGAAGGGAGAGAGAGAGGAGGTAGGAAGTGGCGAGGAGGAGACGACGCCCTTTTGTTTTTAAAGGCACACGGGGCGGCCATTTTTTAACGCCTATTGGTCGGGCCTAACCGGCTGGGCCCGCGGTGTCAGTGGCGCTGGGCGTGCGGTGCGTAGGGGAAAGAAGTGGTGCTCGCAGCGGGCGGAACGGGACGCTTGGGCAACGTGCGGTCGCGTGTACCCCGCGGTTTAATTAAAACGTGTTCGGGTAAGAACGAGCTGGTCTCCATGGCATGTGAGGGTTCTCGTTGGTGACCCCACATGTCATCGGCGGGGTAAATACACGGTGAAGGCTCGTTCTCGGCTTCTGGACGCGACCGAGATGGCGTCTCTCTTTTTTTTAGGTACTGCCGAGATGGCGTCTTGGGATGGGCGCAGTGAGCCAGCAGCTGCAGGCAGCGGCCGTGTGCAGGGCTCTGACATGTGGGCCATGGTGCCCGATTGGGACGCTATGCTGTTAAGCGCCACGTGGCCGTGGGACCCGGCTGGATCGAAGGCCTGCGTGATCTGTGAGTCAGCCTCGCGTGTCCCCGGTCCTGTGGGGACGGACGGCTGTGGCGTCGGTTTGCCGGATCGAGTGGTCGAGATGCTGCTGGATCTCGTCTGGATCCGTGGCCACTACTTGCCTGACACGACGGAGCTCCTCCGCCTTGGAGCTACAAGGTTCTGGGTGCTTTGCCTTGGCTGGGTCCGAAGGTTTCTCTGCAATCGTGTTTGCTTGCTTGGGAGCGGTAAGCAAGCTCAGATTAGGTCATTGATTGCATTATACGTACTTCCAAGTGTACAAGGTGAGATGGTGTATGTTTTTACTCCTTGGTGTCATGGATTGATGCTTGAAGAATGGCTCTTATATTTGTCAAAAAAATACTCCCTCCAGTCCTCTTTTGTTTGCGCATAACTCAAAGCCCAGATACCAAGGAGAGCTAGCGATGCAACAAGGTGGACGTTTTCACCCCGCAACAAGTGATGCTTTCCATGGGTGATTTTCAAGGGCAGTCATAACTGCGGCCTCTTCATTGGCCGTTTTCCCTCGGGAAGAAACGAAGGTACGCGAAGCGAGTCGCTAATCAATCGATGGGAACGGAAGGCCAGGGGCATAGATGGAAAGTTTGACCACATATGCCTAATACGCAGAGTAATGAGGGAAAAAACGAAAAAAGTTAAACGCAGACTATTGAGGACCGGAGGGAGTAACAGAATATGTGTCTTTAACTAACATGCTTATTGCTTACTTTGTGGATTGGTCTCTAGGAATGTCATTGTATCAACATATGTAGATCAAATCCTAATTCAGTTGCGACAAGTGCTTTCGGTGATTTGATATTTGTTTGAGTCTGCGTTTCTAGAGAGCTAGAGAACATCACGAGATGAAGCGTGAGTCCAGATCTTAGCCAACAATTGGATCAATATGCATTGTTGTGTTCTCTATGTGAACAATTCCAATTTCCGGCAATAAAAACAATCATCTTTGTTCAGTATATTAGTAAATTTTTGATTAATTTAATTTAGGAATAAACCATGAGCATGGCAATGGCGGTATTAAACATATACGGATATTTGATCATGTACGCATGTACTAGACACACAACAGAAAGATCTACACAAGTAGCTAGTATAGCAAACACAGAAATAAAATAGGAGCGGTATAAACGTGGTATATCCTCCAGTAGGCCAGGACGAAGCCGTCGTGGCGGTCTCCTCAGCGGTCTTCTCGATAGTGAGTCGTTCGGCTTCAGTGGGCATGTGATGACGAAGACGACACAGATTTAGACGATGTAGTGGACGTAGACATACAGTGACGAGCAACCGCGTAGGAGACGCTTCCCAAAAACCTAATCGCCCCTTTCTCATACAGAATCTCAAGAGGGGCAAATTTGACAATTTTGACGTCGGGATGAAATCAAATCACAGAATGAACTGTCCGTGAAACTATTTCACGCGGCTGACCTTTTTGTATGGCGCCCGACACGCAGGCGCTACACCCTATGGTGTAGCGCCTAGCTCTGGGGCGTTGCACCTCTGTTCACCGTGGCAGCCCCTGGGCCCGCACCCAACAGTGCGGCGCCTCAGAGCTAGGCGCCACACATGTAATGTGCAGCGCCTAGCGCTCGGGCGCTCCACTGTCTGTTACTAGTTGGCTGCCCCCCTCCCCCACTCCCCCACCCCACACACCCCTACCCCCATAGCATCCGACCCAAGATTTGCCCCTTCTTCCCCTTTCTCCCCTCTCAAATCCTCTCCCAAATCTTTCAAATTTGAAGATTTTGTCCGTGGATTTTGAACTCAAACCCTCCTTCAAGGTAATCTTCTCCGATCCCCTTGTTTTGATCCAAGTAATGTTAACAAATTGCTCATTTGTTGCTAGTTTGGGAAAACCCTAGTTTTGTATGGATCTAGAGATTTGCATGGAGATGTGAGATGTTTGTTTGCCAATTTCCTATGATTAGGCTTGTTGGTATGTTAGGGTTATTCTTATGGGTGTTCTTATGTTGGTGCTAGGGTTAGGGTTGTTGTTTCATATGTATTTTAGGATTTGTATACCGTGTTAGTCCTTGGATGATAACTCATGGAAGCAATGTTATGTTGTGTTGTTTGAATGCTTATTATATAGGGATGGGAAGAACATGTGTGTTTGTTCATCATGGGGACAAAGACGCCTTCTTGAAAGGCAATATTGAACCGGACCCGGATGAGTTTGACATGGTGTTTGATACTAGTCCTAGCTATGCGGAGCTCTTGCAACAAGCGAGGAAAGAGTTGAATTGGATGGACCCTAGTGATATCGTTGAGTTGGAGGGAAGGCATAATGTTGATTTTGGAATGCACATCCGTTGGAAGGAAATGCGTGTCAACTCAGAGCAACGTTGGGTTGCATACAAGGAGATGGTGGCCGAATCACTAGACAAGGCTCTTGAGTTATTTGCAACGAAGAAGTTTGATTGAAGTTTGCATTTGGACTTGAACCGGAACCCCTCCCCTTTGGTTGCTAGTAGCCCCCCATCCGTGAAGCGAGATGAAATTGTTGAACCTCTTTTGACCCAAGAAGTGAGGACAACATTGAGCACGTTTCCAAACAACCAAAATGAAGCTTTGCAAGAGGAGAATGATGAGTATGTGGACGATGACAATGAAGTTGATTTCCATGACAACAATGTGGGTGATCTCGACAAATATCATTTGCAAGAGACAATGGACCATTCCATCCCTTATTCCTGTGGCTATGCATCGGATTCGGATGACGAAGGTACCGATGAACAAGTTTATGAGGAGGGGTTCACGGTGAAGGAGGCCGAAGCTTTTGAGAAGGTATTCGGTCGTGATCATCGGACTACATTGTTCAAGGATGTTAGTCTCGCGGACGAAGCCGTGGTAGGTGGTGGCTAAGGTATATCTCTTGGGGTTAGGCCAAGATCTCATCATGATTTGGATGACGGCAAGAACGGGATTGCTAAAGGGTCTAAGTTCGATACCTTCTTGGAATTGAAGATGTGGCTCGACAACTACTCGGTTACGCATTATCGTCCACACAAGGTGGTGAACTCGGACGTCAATGTGCGCTACACGGTTGCATGTGCATGTGAAGATGAAATATGTCCATGGAATGTGCGTGCAAGACCATGGAAAGGAGGTCCCACTTGGCACGTAGTGCGTTGTGTGCCAACTCACATGTACCGAGGCAAAAGGGTCGATGGAAAGATTGTGTCCCAAGACCACAGACAACTCACGTCCAAGTTCATCGCTTATAGGCTCTCCAACTCAATATCCACATTTCCAACAATGAGCGTGCAACATGTCATTGACCTTGTGAAAGCCATCTTTCATTACAAGGTGAAGTACAACAAGGCATGGAAGGCAAAGAAAGCCACATTTAAGATGTTGTATGGTACATGGGAGGAAGCATACAACCGAATCCCATAGTTGTTGTTAGTCATGGCCGCCATAAACCCAGGCATGGTTCATGTGTTGGGGAACGTAGCATAAATTCAAAATTTTCCTACGTGTCACCAAGATCTATCTATGGAGTCATCTAGCAACGAGGGAGGAGTGGATCTACATACCCTAGTAGATCGCGCGCGGAAGCGTTCAAGAGAACGGGGTTGAAGAAGTCGTACTCGTCGTGATCCAAATCACCGGAGATCCTAGTGCCAAACGGACGACACCTCCGCGTTCAACACACGTACAGCCCGGTGACGTCTCCCATGCCTTGATCCAGCAAGGAGAGAGGGAGAGGTTGAGGAAGACTCCATCCAGCAGCAGCACAACGGCGTGGTGGTGGTGGAGGAGCGTGGCAATCCTGCAAGGCTTCGCCAAGCACCGCGGGAGAGGAGAAGGACTTGGGAGAGGGGAAGGGCTGCACCAAAGGCAAAGGTAAGAAGTCCTCCATCTCGCCACTATATATAGGAGGGCCAAGGGGGGGGGGCGCCAGCCCTAGGAGATCTAATCTCCTAGGGGGTGCGGCCAAGGGGAGGAATCCCTCCTCCCCAAGGCACCTAGGAGGTGCCTTCCCCTCCTAGGACTCTTCCTTTAGGGTTTCCCCCACCCTAGGCGCATGGGCCCTAGGGGGAAGTGGCGCCCCAGCCCACTTTGGGCTGGATCCCTTCCCACTTCAGCCCATGGGGCCCTCCGGGATAGGTGGCCCCACCCGGTGGACCCCCGGGACCCTTCCGGTGGTCCCGGCACAATACCGATGACCCCGAAACTTGTTTCGATGGCCGAAATAGGACTTCCTATATATAAATCTTTACCTCCGGACCATTCTGGAACTCCTCGTGACGTCCGGGATCTCATCCGGGACTCCAAACAACATTCGGTAACCACATACAAACTTCCTTTATAACCCTAGCGTCATCGAACCTTAAGTGTGTAGACCCTACGGGTTCGGGAA